TGTGCAGTTTTACACAGAAAGCTGCATCGAATAAACTTTTGATTTCAAGAGAATATTAGACTTTTTGTCAAATATTTTGTAAGAAACACATCTTTTAAAAAATCTCAAAGTTAAAAAAATCAGATGAATGCTGTATGTATTACAGTGAGTATGTTCTGTAACAGCTCAGAGTTTACGATCGATGTTTGCTGCTGGGTTTCCTGCAGTGTCCCTGAACAGAAGCACTTTCACATCTCAGAGTTCTTCAGCAATAAGAAATCGTTTATTTATTGAGTCACATTGTGTTCATTAGCGACAAAGTAGCACTTTGTAGGAGTATGTAGGAGGAACGGACCTCCTACATATACATATACATCGAGTATCTATATAGATATAGATATGCTCCACAACTGAGACCTGAAACAAACAGAAAGCGAGTCTTCATACTGTAATGAATACCTTCAGTTCTTCAGTTCAGCATCGGCTCGATCCACAGGAAACAACGAATTTGAGACGAGCTGCAAACACAGAGACCGAGAATTAAAACAACAACCTCAGATTGAAAGATTCTCCAGAATTATTTCAGATTTTCAGCTTCAGAAATGAACAGCTCACCCTTTGGCAGTCGTCTTCTGTCCAGTTGTTCCTACAGATCTTCTGCGGGTTTGGTATCTCCTGGAGCTCCTCACTGGTGCTGCAGACAACACAAGGATCTTCTGTCCAGATGTTTCAGCCGATCTTCAGTTGGTCTGGACTCTATGAAAAGTGGCGGTCTCCGAGAAACTTTGATATTTTTTAAAATATGTGTTTCTAACAAAATATTTGACAAAAAGTCTAATATTCTCTTGAAATATTTCATCCTAGCGCTAGTCGTCACAATCACATACAATACCTAGGTAACCCGATCTCAAGATGTTAATTCGGAGAGGAATGGCCACACTTATTGGTAGAGGATCGCGGTGGAGGATTCAATCTCACGACCTCTATGAACCCCAACTTCTCTACTGGAAGAGCTCTCCCAGCCTGGAGCTTGTCTGAGCTCCTGTGGTTCTTGGGTTGGTGGGAAGCTGGAACAAAAAAGCAGAATTATTGTCATGGAACATCACCCAAACACATCGAAAACAAACATGGAACTGAAGAAGAAATACCGGCTCTAGCGTCAAAATGTCCCTAAATATTCAGTGTTGGAAGTGTCCCAACAAGCTTTTACTACAAACTGATGAAGGTGAAGAACAATTTCTCCAATACATGAATAAATACAATATGGTGGTTTTGAACAAACAAATTAACAACAAATTAGCAACAAGTACAGAGAAAGTATGACGTTTTATTTATACAGATATATCAACAATTAATATTGGAAAAAAGGATAGTCCATAAGATGATTGCTTACCTCACTTCAATGCTCTGTTTCCAGACAAGTAAATAGTACTGAAGTCGTACACCAGGGGGCAATCAAAGTACTTTGTTTCCATCAGCAGGCTGTGTCAGACAGACACCAAGGGTGTCAAACACAATGAGTACCAGAGCTCTGAAAGTTTTTTTTTCAACCCTGCATTGACAGACCAGTATCCTACACATAGACTGAGGGTTAAGTTACGGTTGGTACTGTGTAGAAAATTGAGAATTGGCACCTCTACCAGGGGTGTCAAACTCAGTTCTTGGAGTGCTGCAACCCTGCACAGTTTTCTTCCAACCCTGCTCAGAAAGACCCAGACCTGAAGCTTACAAACAGCCTAAAGGACTTCATGAGTTGCATCAGGTGTGTTTAGTTGAGGTTGGAGCTAAACTGTGCAGGGCTGTGGCGCCAGACACACATTGTTTGAACTAACATGCTAAATGGATTCTGACCATACATGTAATGTAATTAACTTTAGTTTCTATTTTGGCTATTTTCTATTTGCAAGCTAATTCAAATGAAAATGTGTCTTTCAGTTTCATTTTACAGAACATATTGGTGCTATCAGTGGTATCTAGTGCTGAAAAGAAGCTATAAACCTTGGAAGTACAATACCTGTGACATGGCTTGTGTTTTCCAATGTTCTGGCACAAAAAAAGCACAACTGGAACACTATATAAGGTTGAGGATAGATTTGCCTGGTTTTTGGATACAATTTTCACATTATTTTGAAATTGTCTTCACTTTTTGTGAAGAGATTTATATATTTTTACTTTATCTCAACACTTTTGATTTTTCTTTTATAAAGCATAAAACTGTTCATTCTCATTTTTTTTTTAGATGTGCACAGTAACTAAATCAATATTTGCTAATACTGTACTTGGAATTAAATTTTTTGTATAATTTCAGGTTTGTTGTGGAATTATTGTGTATAGTAAATAATTGTATAAAAAGAAGCTGGGGCTGTACTAAAAATTATATCAAGCATTGCCACCAAACTCTTTGAAAGGTTTTTAATAGAGCAAATTGTAAAGTAGTAAAAAAAGCTCCAAAGGAAGAATTCTAAGGGTTAATCCAAAAAAATATAAAAATCCTTAAGTTCCAAAAATGTAACACGTTAAAATAGACAATCTTCACAACACCTTTTATTTCTGTCTTGCACCCTTGTTTATGAAATGACCAAATGTCTATTAAACTAAACTGCATTAGATACCAAAAAAATGAGCTCTACACACTTTCGGCCCTTTAGTCATTGTCCACCTGCTCGCCATTGGACGACATATATTCATTCAACACATCTTCAAGACATGATTTGCTGAAATAAACATCAATCAATTCCTGTGTTCGTGATTGGTTGGTCCTTGTTAACTAATACGAGAAATCCATGTTCTTCGAATTTGACGTCACTATAGAGCACTATGTTTCACATTCCTTGTTTGTGTGAGTGAGGTTATTGTTCAGCAGAGTTCTTACACAGATGAGTGTTTTCTACGTAATTCAGTTTGCTTCTGATTTTTTTTTTTTGCACCCTTCAAATATAAGAGCTAATTATACAAGACAGGGGATGACGTGTATGTCTATTTCTTAAAGACTGGTTTTCATTCTAAAATACTGTAGTTCAGGATTCCTGCTTCGTTTAGAAGTGTGTGCGACAACCAAAGACTTGGTGGGACCAACATTTGAGGCCAATTTTTAAAAATTTGACTGGATTCCCCAGCCACAGGGGGGTGATCACAGCGCTTTTGCTTCACTCAGCTGGCCATGAGACACACTTGGTGAAAACCTTAACTGGAGAAAAAAAAACTTATCCAACATATGATTACAGCATTGTTCACTTCATTTTAAATCATATAAAATTACTGTATTATATTTAAACAAGCACTGTTTGACAGTTGCACACCAACCACAAATAAGTGTGTTGAAAACATGTGTAAAATAAATGCATTAAGAAGGTTTTGCTCTTAATACACTGTAGTGTTGTGATGTTCATGAGCGAATCAAATCTTTTGAACGGATCATTAATATGAACGATGGGAGCCGAGTCGTTTTTGGTCGAGAGCCATTCTCCTCTGGAGGGAGGGGGGTAAATGTATACCTCTATGAGTGAGTAGCTGGAACAGTGTCAACCCCTCAGCAGACGATGTCATGGAGGTGCGGGCGTACTTGGAGAAACCATTTGTTCCTAAGAATGAAGACCTTTTGAAGTGGTGGGAAGGTCGGGTACCTGTGTATCCAAGGCTTAGCCAACTAGCGGCTAAGAAGCTTTGTGTTGTGGCAACATCAGTGCCTTCAGAAAGAATTTTCTCCAAAGCTTACCAAAACTCACAGAGAGGAGAAACCGCCTCAAGCATTCCACTATGAGAGCACTTGTGTTTCTCATTTCGAATTTGCAGAAAGACTGGAACTGTTCTATCATTTTGGAAACAGTAGTAGGTAATTTATTATGTTTAGACTTATTTGGTTACTGGGTTTATATAGTTTTAAAATAGTGTTTATTAGTTTTTCAGTATTGTTAAAAATGTAAGGTTTTTGCGTGAAACTTGATTGAAGCCTGCTTTGTTCCTTGTGTATTAGGTGTTGGATAAAATAACAAGTCAAAGTGGACTTGCATACATTTTATACAAAGGGTAAAAAGTGATCTTACTGTAATTATCTGAGAGTTATCTCAGTAATATAGCAGTGGAATATTTTTAAATAATCCAAATCAGACTATAGCAATAATCAATATTTCTAATTTGAATATTGGTAAATCTCAGCCCATCATTCCTATGATTATTTCCAGTATAAAAAAAATAACCCCAGGCTGGTTTTTTAAAAGTAAAAAAATATAAGGAGCCAAGTAAGCCAGTTTTTTGAACGTGTCTTTAAATTGAACGGATCCCAAATATACGGCTCCCTCCAAAGAAACAATTTTCAAAAGATCCTTTAAATAAAACAGTCCCTGACAAAAGTATTGTCAGTTGTGTATAAATTGACCTGAAGTGCTGCTAAAATATATTTCTAATCATTTATTTACAAGAAATTGCTCATTTAAATCCCAACAGCTTTTGAAATATTGCTAAACAAAACTGAAAAATCGAGTGGCATTTGCCATGGCCCACAGCATGCTAAAAGGATGGAGGCTGGTCTCCAGACTTCCAAGGTGGAAGACAACATCAATAGTGTAAAATACCAAGAAATCTTATATTCTTAGACATAAAAGAGGACAAATTCTACAGAATGGTGCTCCATCTCATAATTTCTTCTCCACATCAAAGGTCCTCAAGGAGAAAATCAAGATGCTTGGCCAATAAAGTCACCAGACATGAATCTTCATTGATCCTGTCTGGGGTAAAGTGATGGGAAGTTCGGGTCATTTTACCGACTATGAGCTTTGAGTCTCGTTCAGCAAAATGAACAAATATTTTTTTGAGTCCTTTCGTTCGGAACATTTCGGTAATATTGACATTTTATGCGTTCCTTTGGAGTCACATCAAAGATTTGTTCAAAATGAACGAATCGTTCAAGAACGACACATCACTACTGGGTTAGGATGGAAGAGGAAGCATGGAAAATGAAACTAAAGAATATTGATGAACTCTGTGAGGCATGGAAGACTGCTTTCTTTGCTATTCCTGATGACTTTCCAGTGGCTCAGTCAGTAGAGAATTCTGATTGCACCGCAAAGGTCATGGGTTCAAACCCCAAGGAAAGCAAGAATTAATACAATATGTTAATTGCTTGAAATACAAATCAATAAGATGCGTGGAATCCTTGCCAAACCACATCGATACAGTCTTTGTAGCTCAAGGAAGCCATACAAGATGTTATATTTGCTTAATTTGCTAAATCTGTATTTGTAGTGCATTTATTAAATTACATTTAGATTGGTTAACCCACAAGACAACTGCCACTTTCATAATTACAGTAATGTATTTGAGCCCATATATTAATTTTTTTTTTTATCATGATTACTTTGACAAATGACCATGAGGCAAGGTCAGTTCTTTACCTCCACCTCATGCATTAAAACAACAGAAACCAAACTTATATTATGTATCATACGTGTGGAATTTTACTATAATCATACAGCATTATAAAAACACACCATTCTCTGGTAATGACCTGTTTAGTAAAGATTGTTTTTTGAACATGTTTACATTTCCATAAATTGTTCATGTTAAAATCAATTAATACATGTCAGACAGAAAATACTTGTAAGTCTGTCGTCAAATAATTCACCAGCAGGTGAAGTGCCTTTGGGCTAATGAATATTCTCTCTCCAAATATACCTAGGCTTTAAATCATGCCTCAAAGGATCCTCCGCTCAAACAAATTAAATCATAATAATTGCTCTCCTCTAATTGCTCATTTGTTTAATTTGAGGATTAATGATTGCTGTACAGAGCATTGACAAAGGCTTTAACTAAACTCATCTGGTGGATACACTGCTTTAATAAAGGCTCTCCTGTTTGTGGCTTCAAGGCAGCAGTGATTGCGGAGTCCTGGGCATAAAAAAAGCTAAACAATATTTGAACTGTATTTTCTATGTCTTCTCATCTATTTAATGTTATTATGTGTTAAATACAAACCAGAAGAAAATTAATTTCATCAAATTTAACACAACATGCAACTTTATTGATTGATGTGCATTTAATACAATACCAGAACTTGATTAATTTAACATAAAGCATAACTGGTGTTATGTATATATATATACCAGTTATGCTTTATGTTGGGGGGAGAGGGGTGTATGGGGGGGTGGTGCTTGTTTGAGCTGGACAGTTTTGTTATCTCTCTAGGGGAGTGAACAAGTGATGTGGTGTTTCCTCCTCTGGGTGGAAGCAGTGAATTTACGTAATTATTTATTTTTACCATGGACCAGTTTGCATTAATTACATCAGGACAGGAGGGTGTTAAAAGGAAAGGGGGAAGTGGATGAGAGATGTAGGTGAGGGGGAAAGATTCACCAGTGGGAAGAATACCTACCTGAACATACCATATAAGTTTGTTACAGTTTGTGCATTACAGTTTTTGCAGTTTGTAAATACCTACACTCCAGCTAACTTGGAACGCAGGTGGTGTAAGCTGTAGTTGAGAGTAAATCTGTAACATCTCATTTAATCGAGGCTTTAATGGACACTGAAGGGGAACGTAAGTGAGAAAATAGAGAATGTGCATGTCTTTTTGCATTTTCCATGAGACAAACAGGGGAGCTGACAAAAGGTCTTAAAAGTTTTATGCTCTCCTCACGTTTGTAGAAAAGAAACAAAGGAAGACACTTTAAAGCATATTTAAGTAACAAGCCGTGTAGCAGGACTTTGTGGTGCTGGGAATTTGGCATGGAGTTAGTTCTTGGCCAAGTGTTGTTATAGAGCGTACCAGGTAGTAATCTATCCAGTACGTCCCACAGCAGGAAACCTTCTCTGATGTATGCCTGGATAGACGAAGTGCTCAAGGGCAAATTTTGATCCAAGGTCTCCACCTGGGCCATGGTATTTATAGTCTTGGCATCGAACAGAAGGATAGAGGCTTTGTGATGCCTCAACACAGACAAGCTCGCTCTGGGGATGTGATGGGGAAAGACAGCAAGTTGTTTTTTACTACTTTTTTCAGTCAAAGTTGTACTTTTCTTTGTCTTTGCAGGGCGTGGGTGTAATGTTAACGCTTTTGAAAAGAAGAAAGAATCTTCAAGCAGTTTTACAATTAATTTTAATCATTTTTAATGTCAACAGTATTATTATTATTTTTATTTTTTTGCTGATTGCATTGAATCGATTTTTTATTGTTTGATTTCAATGATAAATGCAACTTATTATTATTTCGTTTTCTTACAGCACACCGTATTTTGTAAAGGAATTTGGAAAATTGTTGAAATTATTATTTATGTTTTTTATATCATGAATTCCCAGAATAACCGATGATTTGCTAGGATATATATATATATATATATATATATATATATATATATATATATATATATATATATATATATATATATATATATATTTTTTTTTTTTTTTTTTTTTTTTTTTTTTATCTACCAACTTTATGTATTTATTTGTGATTGCCCCTTTCTTGAAAATTCATAAACCAGAAACAGCATCTTTTGGACTAACTTTTGAATCAGGTCCAACCATTGAGTGTTATCTCTTGAAGCAGAAGAACGCTGATGGTATTTTAACACCAGGGCTCTGACTTAAGCATCCTCCCCAGTGTCGTCTTAAGTCTAAATGTCATCTGTGCCCTTGATGCTTTCACACCTTTTCCTTTAGAAAGTTGTTTTGGAAGGATCTAACTTGGGTGGTTCTTATTTCATCTAATTTCGCTTATTATTCCACACATACAGATACAACTAAAGTGTCTCTTTATAAAAACTATAACTGAGAATTAATGAAAATCGTATTGCGCCTTAAAACTCCATGGGGAACAGACAAATTCTGCAATAAATGTGAATTTGAGGAAGTTTCTTTTCATGGAACGATGGTGCACAGAGAAGGTCTCTCCCAAACTTTTCAAAGCACACTGGGGTTTCTAGATGTTCAATGTTGAGGGACATCAATGCAGATGTCAGCAAAGGAAACTTCAGATGAAAGACATATTAAGCTAATTGCCCTTTGAAATCAGAAGACTATAATCCTATTTCCTGGTTGACTTCTAAAATATAACAGGAAATACATCACAACCAGGAATTTACAAGCTCTTTAAACAAAGTAGCTCAAATTCTCTGCCCTTTTAGCTCCAGATCCTGACAGAGCTAGCAGCTCTCTCTCTCTCAGCTCCCTTTCCCTATACCCCTCCCTGTATCTCTCAGAACAGTGCTGGTTTAGCTGACACATGTCTACACGTTTAAGTTAAATAAATCAGCGTTTTCTGTTAAGTCTTCTTAAATTTGCTTTCAGAGTCTTCTTACTTGGTTTAGATCAGTATTCTATAATAATTTCTAGCAGTCTAATATATTTAAAACCAGCAAAAAACAGGTACACTAATCTAATTTCTGGAGAATTCTGGCCAGGAATTGTCTTCATGGAAGAGGTGGAGCAAAAAAAAACATAACTCTGATGTAGAAACAAGGCCAAGTGACTGGCCAAGTAGAACTGTCTAATTTTAACCTTTTTATAGGAATAATTACTGTTACTTGGAATTTTTTAGAGCTCTGAAAGGTCTATTTTAAAGGTTTGTGTTGTAATAATAGCGGTAATTAAGAAAAAAAAAACTTTAAATACATTTTACCGTAAGCTGTTGTCGCCCCAGCTTTACCATCAAATATACAGTAGTTATTCGTTTTACAAGATTTTACTGTAAATTTTCCAAATTGTAATTTTGTTTATAGCTGTTTAAATGCAAGTGATTCCGTTTTTCAAAACTTTGAAAAACACAAGCCATTTCACAGGTCTTGGACTTCCAAAGGTTCCCTTCGTTTCACCACTAGATGACACTTATGATACCAATTCGGGCTCTGTAAAATAGACGATTGCGCATTGTCCCGCATTTTATTTATTTTAATTTGCCTTGCAAATTACGTGTTATAATGTTGGTTTAAGACCAAAAATATCAAAGCTAATAACCTTTGAAATTAAAATCAAACAATATCTGGGCTGCGTTCTTTCTACATAATTCAAAACAGACTCTGTGATTGGCACATGCACTGTGAGACTTCTAAAGATTAAATCATTCTTACACATCTAAAACTGAACATTCCTCGAGTTGATGTACTCCATATTCTTGGTTACTATTACTCTGATTTCTTTAGTGCAGTGCGCATGCCATGGATACATCAGGACACAAAAAGAGCTGACCTTTCAAACAGTCGTGCAGTGACAGTAAGAGGGTGAGTAATGATAACTGTTTTAATTTTGTGCTGCATTTAAAATTCCCTGAATGATCAGAGAGACCTTCAGATCGTGGATAATAAGAGGAAAATTCATCTCAGCATGCATCCCAAAGACTCTCACTGCTAATTTGATTGGATTTGTTTGTTTAGCATCATTCGTTCTGTTACAGACATGGCCTTTGCCATTATCTTTGTGGGGTATTGCCTTTGTACGCTTATTAAAATCACAGCAGGGCTCGGCTGAGATCCACTGTCATCAGTTACCTCTATCAGGGTGGTGGCATTGGGATTGGCTGCTGCAGTCAACATCTCCGATGAAATCAGAACTAGTATGAGGTTCCTTTTGTTATAAAGCAAGGGTAAGCTTTTAACACCATCTATAGTAGAAGACTGGGAGCCTCTGTGCATATCTGAGAGAGTCGTGTGAATGCTGAAGTTCATGGACTTTGCAGAAAGATTGCTTCAGTTTGAACTATTGAGACCCCCATTAGACTACAACAAGATAGAGCTGGCTTTTGAGTACGGTTTTTTATGAAGTACTGGGTAATGGAGAAATTGCCTCTGTGAGGCCACAGTGTTACCCATGACCTCTTGGTACACAAGTTTATAGTGCTTGCACAAAAACAGAATTTGTCTTATTCAAATGTTATTTCTTGAAAGAAAATGATGTGTCAAAGGTTTCCATTTAAATGTGATCATTGTGACCCGATTTATTCATTTATTTCTAATTGGATTCTTTGTTAGAGCATGGAGTTGAGAGGAAAAATGCACGGATGAAAGAACATTTGTGAGTGGAGTGGAATTTCCATCCATCCTCTATTTGATCCAGAAATGAGCAGTTCAGTTTTAAATCAATACAGTATGTGTTATTTCACATATT